TGGTGAGTTATACTCACTTTTTTCCTCCTGCTCACCATCAGTCAAAAACTCCTGTTCGCTCTGCAAAAGGGTTAATGACTAGCCCGTGCTGGGCTGTCAGAAGACTGGTCGTACTCATCCTGCTTCCATAAACACTATTCTGCCCTCTGAGACTCTAATTACAGATCATTATGTTTCTGAAACTGATCATTTCTGTCCTCCTGTGTTTATCTCAGAACCTGTCTCTCAGCCTCTCAGCGGTTTCAATGGTAAACACGTTTGAAGAGCTAACTCGTCAGGCCAGGACTCCCAGTCTATTTACACCTACAGGCCAGTGGACACTCTTTCAATGCGGAGGATGTGCACACCCTGGATAGGGAGAGGGGAGTCAAGGAGGCCATTTACATGAAAAGGGAAAAACCATCTCTGAATCAAGGAGGAAGCCTAAGGGTACATTATTCCCCATCTTAAAATGCAGCCATTTCCCAACTCTCTGTGGATGGTGCTCACGGCCATTGATCAGTGGCCATGGCAATTTGCATATTAATGATCAAGGAACTGACCTCACAGCTCATTGTTCATTCAGTGGTGCTAGTTTCAGTCATTGTGCAAATGTTGTGTTTATAAGTCTGGGGAAACCTGCAGTCAGCTCAGACAGAAGAAGTCACTTGGATCAGTGATGAAACGTTTCTCCCACTGAAAACAACGTGTCCAGATGAATGGAATCAACTTTTATAGATTTACTTACCTGGATGACTGAGCATGCATCAAGACATGTCGCTCAGCCTGTTCCTGCTGGCAGTGTGACTTGGACCCTGCCTTCCACTGCACCCATTGTGGGTGCACCTGGGTGAGTGTGGCTAGGGCCCAGCCAGTCCCTGCTCCTGTTCCTGTTTGCATTCCTGCTTGCAGAGCAGCTTGGGCCACCTTGTACCCATTCCAGTTCTTCAGGTGATGGTAGCCAGGGCCCAGCCGGTCCCTGTCCTGGTTCCTAGAGCAGCTAGGGCCCAGTGTGTCCCCGCATCCATACCAGTTCCTCAGGTGGGGGCAGCTGGTGTCCATTGTTGCCTGCTCCTACGGTGAGACCAGTCCACCTCTGGGCCTGTACCAAATCCTTGCGTGAGGGTGGCCGGTGTCCAGCAGGCTCCTGTACCCACACCGGTTCCCAGGGCAAAGGCAGCTGACACTCAGTCCACTCCTGCACTCGTATCTGTTCCTTCAGTGGGGGTGGCTGGTGTCCAGCTAGCTCCTGCGCCTGCCCCTGCTCCTAGGGTGAGAGTGGCCAGGACCTGAACCTTTCCCTGCATCCATACCTGTTTCTCGGGTGGTAATGGATGGGGTTTGGCCAGTTCCTCCACCCATTCCGGTTCCCAGGAATAGATGGCTAAGCCCTCAACGCGAGCTCCAGCCGCAGCACCCAGAGCCTGCTGCAAGCTCTGCACAGCCCCGACCACAGGTTTCTGTACCAAACTTTTGGTTCAGACTCTGGGGCCGGAAGGAAGAAACGCACATGGAAACAAGACAGACCGGGGAGACAAAGGGAGGCGACACAAAGAGGGAGACACAGAAACAGTTAAGGGAGACGAGACACTGTGGGAGAGGGAGACATGAATGCACATGACGGAAGGGGAAAGATGGAATGAAACACAAGGAGGGAAATGTGAACAGAAAAAGGAAAAGAAATGCAACGACCCGTCCAAGACACACAGAAGTGCGAGGAGCAATACAGACACATAAACACAGACTACAAGAGAGGGAGACACAAAATGGACCCAACAAACAAGAGAACGTAAACCAGAAATTACATTACAACACAAATAAATCACAAAAACGCGCTCTCAAAATGGTGGGTCAAATGACCCAGAACCATGACACGTAGTTCTGAATAGCCGTTAGCTGACATGTTTTGTTTGTCATGGTTAAAAAAAATAGTTCCAAAATTAAAATGAACTGACTTTGCAGATGTTACCACAACTTTGGTTTGAGCTATGTCTTCAGTGTTGGAAGAATCAGAAGACAAAGTTGCATTATGAATGTGACCCACAAACTCTTGCTGACTGGCAGACTGGGAGGAGATAATTGTAAGTCTGATGTGCTAAATTCAGCATGCCAGCATGCCAAATGAAACTGAGACTGGTTGTTGTGACTGTTGTTCTCATCCCCGTTATCACAGCTATGGCTGTAAAACTCTGGAGATTTCAGATAGGTACTTGATGAAGACTACGGTTAGATCTATTTACGTTGTACCAAAATGATAAACTAATCCAATAGCACATTCACAGATGGTGTACAGTTATTTTTGGTAAATGGTATGTCATCCAGATATGGGCCAGGTCTGGCAATGATGGCACTGTTTATGTGATGGCATGCCACATCTGGCCCGATTGTGGTGTATGTGGCCCAGGCTCATAGAAAACAGGTCTAGCCCAGATCCGGCATCAAGCTGGCACTTCTGACTGACTGGTGTCATGGAGGGTGTCTGTCAAAAAGATGTGGGCAGGTCTGGCAGTGATGGCACTGTTTATGTTTCTATTTTCCTATTTTAGTTAGAAGACCCAAATGCCATGTTGCAATACTATACTGCTATGGTAGCCAACATTTCAAATGCAGGTTTGACAGATTTGTGAGTGTACACTTTATCCAAAACCTAGTGAGGGTTTACTCATGTTTACTACTGGGTGGCTGTAGCTCAGGAGTAGGTCACCTACTAATCGGAAGGTTAGTGGTTCGATCTCTAGCTCCTCCAGTCTGCATGTCAAGAGTGTGAATGTAGTTAGGAAGCACTCAGTTTAGAGAAAGTGTGTGATTGGGTGAATGTGGCATGTTGTATTGAGCACTATGAGTAATCCATGAGAGTAGAAAAGCGCTATATAAGCATCAGTCCATTCACTCTCTGAATAAAGTTTTGTCATGTTACTTTTGCACTATTATGTTGTTGTTATTACTCTGGGCCAACACAGGTCCAGCAGTGTGTCTGCAACTGGCCCATGGCTGCACACAACTTACACATGGCCCACATACCGCAAAAAATGACGGCCCTTTTGTGGCCCAGATCTACTTTGCCAGAGGTAATCCACACACGGGCCAGTTTGTGAGTCTGAAGGTTTGGGACCTGATTGACGTGAGGCGCTGACGTGAGGACACCTGTGGCCCTGGTTTTCCTGAAACAAGAGGATCTAGCGATGGCTTCCAAGGGCAGCCAACGATTCGTTGCTATGGACCAGGGTTGTAGTGGTGCACAAAAGTTACAGTTTTGTATATAAGCTAATTTATATAACATTTATGTAACATTCTGTCATTTATGTTAAACAATGAGAATATTCCAATGTGTCTTATTCCTAATGAAACAATAGTGGTACCAATACTTCCAACTTATAAAGGCAGCTTATGTAGGGGAGGCTGGTCTGTCATGACTGATGAGATCATCAGTTTGACAAATCTGAAGACATTTTAATGACAACTGAATCTCTGTGACTTTTACTTTCCAGAGTTAAGACAACAAAAGTTTCAGTTTCATTGTGAAAATGCCTGTTTGGAGACCTGTGATGCAAATCTGTGTTTAAAGCACTCTGGGTCAGCTTCTGTTGTTATATGAAGTAGACTTGACAGTCAGCACAAAAAGGTTAATATTATGTTATTTTATTATGTTGAGACATTTTTCATACTGCATGTTTGAAGTGTATTTGTTTAATTTCCAATAAAAATATTTATTTAACACAATGCAGTGGACTGAATGCATCATCTGAATGTCTGAACATAGTTTATAGGTAATCTGTCTACTAAAGAAACTGGTATGATGTATCAAAACACAAACATTAACTAATGCTGAAGAACCGACATGTGTTGTGACTGAAACATCACTTCCATCATTAAATGAGCTACTTGGTTGGATCTCTGCGTCTCTGAAAGGACTTTAAAAGAGAAGCAGCAAAAAAACAAAAACATCAAGAGGAGGAAATAAATCCCTCAGACAGACCAAGACGCCAAATGTTTTACATTGGTCACATCATTCTGAGTGAGCTCTAATCACCGCTATGCAAAAATTAACAATGATCAGCAGTTTCATAATTTTTAGATGAGTGAGTGTGGTACCAACAATCATTCCAAGTTAAAGCTGATTAAATACATTTTTGCCCAAATTTTGTCAGACTGGACAAAAAGGACCTGTTGATGTGACAATTGTGCTCAACAAGGAGCTTCACTAAGTTGCTAAATTATTCAGGACTGATTCAGTCGGTTCACTCGAAGAGCATTTGTGTTGCTGCATGCTAAACAAATCTAGATCAGGACACATCTTCGTGGTAAATCAATCTCACGCTGTTATTCACACAAACTCACATCACTACCCTCTGCTGTAGCAGGGTGACACTTGCACAGCCTCATATCAAAGGGTTTACTCCTCCACAGGCTGTACGTTTCAAACCCACACTAGCTAAAGGCTCCACACTGAGATGCACTTGAACCTACTAAGCCTTGCTAACATAATATAATCATGCATGATGAAAAAAGATACTTGATTATAGTATTAATACTTTATTTAGTTTGGGGCCAATAGTCTGCTTCATGCAATGTTAGCAGTTACAGAATCAACAGAGAACCTCAGCGAGTGCTCGATATCAGGAATTTTTGTCACGTATTATTACTGACACGTCTGATGCTGAGTTAAACCTTTTCAAAGAGCTGCGTAACCACTAGCACAAAGTCTTATTTAAAACATCTAATGGTAAAGACAACAAATATCTAATATATCAAAATGATACAGACTGACTGCTTTTGTAGATGTATTTTAAACTTGAGACCGTAAGACTAAGACTGTATTTTAAAATAAATCATCTATTAAATATATCCTATTAACCAGCATTATCTGAAATGCTGTCAAACAATAAAATATTGATATTCTGTTCTTCCTAAAGCTTTAGGTTTGCACCATTTTCCTAAATCTGGTGGCACCGTCAGGCTGAGGAACGGTACATATAAAAGAGCAGCCCGCCTCTTTATGTAGAGATCACTTTTACTGGAGCACAGTTCAGTTAGCAACATTGCAGTGGTCATACACACAATGCTGAAATTTAAGTGGATTGCAGTTTTACTCTACACCTTCAGTAAGTAGACCTATCACTTTTTTTCCTCATACAAGAATTACATTTTGTTGAGTAATCCAAGAGAACTGAATCTTGAGACACTGAATGGACAGTGTAGTTCATAGGTATTGTTTGGTTGTTTGGTTTTGGTGGAGTTTGAAGTTTATTTTGTTGCTTGGTTCAGGTTGGATCTCTTCCATAGTCACACAGTTTTATGCTGTGGAGGTTCAGGCTGGTGAAGAAGTCACACTGGAGTGCTCCAACTTTAGCAGACATCTTGGTCACATAACCTGGTTCAAAATGACCAACAGACCCAACGTGAGCAGAATCTCATCTATGGTCAGTGCTGAAGGAAATGCTTCTCTCCAAGATGGTCTTCAAGCTGGCAAATTTAACATGACGTCCAACACCTCTGTGCTGTTTCTCAAGATCAAACATCTGGATTCATCTGACTCTGGCTTGTATTTCTGTGGAGAGTACAAAAATGAAAAGACGGTAATTTCAAGTGGAACATATTTAAAGGTGCAAGGTAAGAGTGTAATTATGTTTTCTGTCATTTAAATCTTGTTATTTTGCATGACTTTTTACAGTCATGGGCAGTATATTACACAAAGTTTTATTTAAATTGTCCATTTTGTAGATGTGTTTGATGGATTAACAAATGTGATGCCTGTGATCCTGGGCAGTTTAATTGCTCTCCTTCTACTGGTCATCATTGGTCTGGCTGTCCAACTCAGGAAATTTCACTCAGGTATTTATATGATTTGATTTCATTTAAATTACAAATACAAAAGCAGAAGCGAATTACTGACGGATGGATTGTTCCTGTCATTTAGCTCAAGATGATGGACAGAATCCACAACAGAGTGAGGTAATCTATTTAAGATTTATTCTCACCAAGCAAGATATTAAACTTAACTGCCTTGAACCCATTTAGGGTAACAGTTGGAGGCCGTTCCTGACCATACCAGGCTTGAATATGCACATTTTAAGGATTTACAGGATGCTAACATCCAAATTACGTCTCACATATTCATTTTGGCATTGCAGTTTTTCTGCCAAAAGCTCTTTCATTTTAATGATGAAAGTTGAGTAGCTGGACCCCAACACTAGATGGGTTCCCTGTGACCTTCTGGATGTTAAGAGGTTAACAAGTAATGTGCAGGATTAGTGACTTTGAACATTTTCATTTACAGAATGTGGACTCTGATGACATGAACTATGCAGCACTGAATTTCCATCCCAAAGCTAAAATCAGAAGGCCTGTACCACAGAGTGAGATGGACACAAATGTGGTGTATGCTTCTACGAAACACTTGAAAAACAACAGGAAGATCAGCACAGAGTGAAAGCTGGCACACTGATCTCTCGTGAGGGATTTGACACATACACACATGCATATATTCAGTCCTGTTTTTTGAGTATTAAAATCTGATGAACTGAACGGACGAACATGAATATCTCAAGGATTATAATATATAACATGATTATATTATATTTTATTATATTATAACTGAATAACACAATAATGATAATATTATTTACACTTTTCAAGCTTTAACTATCAAAAAGAAAGAAAGAGCAACCCAATTTTGGGCCATTTTCACAACTTTCTAGTTGTAACTGTAACTGAGAAAATACCTTTTTTAGCACTATCTGAAAATTCAGTTTCTATTTGCATGTAAATTATTATAATAATATATAATAATATTAATTTGTATAAATTTTTATTCTAAAGTATTATTCTAAGGTAATAAGATAAAAGGTAAAATGAAATATGTATTCTTTTTTAAACTAAAAAGATATTTCTACTAATTAAGCAAATAGCAAACTGAATTTGTTATAACCTAATTTCACACACACACACACGACTTCTCTGAGAAATCAAGCATAACAAGCAACCACTGTTTCACACACTTTGGCGATCTTCAAACTTCATGTAAGAGATTTACTTCTCTGCAGCTCCTGTAAGTCCTGGAACTGAAATACCTACAAATCACTGATTTTATTCATTATTCTTCTCTTCTTTTGCTAATTTGTTTTCTTTATTATCCAAAGAATTTATGTCTCTTTTGTTTCAGCCCAGGCAATACAGTTTGGTGAAGAATTCAAACTGCTCTACTGCAAACTTCTCAGATATTCTGCCTTAGATACATAAACAGAAGCAGTCCTATTTGTCTGACCTACATGCTCAGATTTTATTAGCAACATTTATATCTACATTCAACAAAGTATTCAAAGTATTAATGTGATAATGGCTATAGTAAGTAATAAATTGGGCACATCATTTTTATCATTTAGGTGGAAATAAGAATCTTAACAAATAATGTAGAGATGTGAATAAACAGGTGACACAGCATAGCAAACACAGACATTTGAAATAAATTAATGCTTATCTTTAAAGAAGACCTTTCATAAATCTCCTTACCATCTGTCACACATATACTGGTACATTTGTGTATGTTCATATTAAAGATGGCCAAAGTTTCAGATAATGAGGTCGTCTTACGTACGAATAACCCCTGTGAGTCATAAGTACAGACGGCTGATTGTTCAGAGATAAATTTAGTCGTTAAACCCTTGCATCAGTTTGATGTCACAGATATAACTAATCTCACCTACACAGGTCTGGTTGGTAAAACTACAGTTTATGACGGGCAGCCAATCAGAAAGCTAGCGTAAACGGACAGTGAGGGCATCAGGAGGATTAGTTTAAAAGGAAATCATGAAAAACTGCTTCAGTAGTTGCCAAGAATAACTTTATGATGATGAGCTTAAATGCCCTCTTCTGAGAGCTATTAAGCTCTGTTGTTTAGTTGCATCTCATAAAGGGAAATCGTGTTTGACTCTTATGACTCAGCTCTTGATCTAGACTCTGATGATCATCAGGATGTAACACTTCATCTGCATGGAACAATTAAAACCAGGAGGCATGCAACAGGGGAGAAATAAGAAACTCGTGTTATCCATGCTGCGACCAGACAGCCTGAACACAACCAACTTTTTAAGATAGCGTTGATACGTTGTGTCTGTCCCAAAAAAATAAGATCGCTTCTGTATTGTGATTAAAAGTTAAGCTTGTAATAAATATGATGAACATGATATTGTTGTCTTTATTAATTTTGATGTTGAAGGACATAAGTCAGGACCTTAAAGACTGTCAAGTGTTTCTTAAGCTGAGAGTTAGATGGAGGTTTGTCGAGGAGAGAGTGAGATATACATCATGAGCAACAGGAAACAATAACACGGTGTGGTCTGAGCAAAGCTGACTTTGAGATCGTGAGGTCTGTCACATCAAATATCTGTCTCTTGTTTGTCTGTTGTTGTCTTGTTTGGGGTTTTTTCTAAATAAAAAAAATTGTTTCTCAGCAGAACCACCTGTCTTCAGTATGCTATGACAGAGCAGGTGTAACGCTGGTGTAATGAGTGTTCTTTGAGTTTGGACAACATTTCTGATGCTGCAACACAAAATTTATAATAATAATAATAATAATAATAAAGTATAACAATCCAGGAAATGATGTATGCAATGTTTATTGTAGATTCATATCATTTGTTGGAACATTTTCAATATAATTATCCGATAAATAATATAGCTGCGGATGCATATCCATGACGTTTGTGTCAGTGCAATGCACAGTCACAGTATATGAATGCAGCTAGTTAACAGAGCCAGCTAGCGTTATGTGAGAAATAGCACACAGTGCTTTCTCACCTCAGATGCTAAAACCCCAACGTGGTGACCCACAGAATGCAAGCGCTCAGGCGTTAAGATGGAAACTTTTTTATAGTATATTATTTATCGGATAATTATATTTAAAATGTTCCAACAAGATGAACATCATGGACAAGTCGGGTTTAGTACTGTCACGTGAGGCCGAGCAGTCAGCTAGAAGCCAGAGCTGCCTACACTGACATACCTGTCAATCAAAGTGACCAAGTCCATCATTTTAAGCCTTAAGAATGTCTAAATAGATGAGGCAGTCTTGGGGAAATTACTCCTTTTAGAGCCATATTTAAGAGGACATAAGAACTGCAGATTTTAGCTCTTTACTAGTTGGTTTCATTTTCCAGCCCCAGAAATTGCTCTTTAATTACAACTTATATATTTACTAGTTGTACCGATATCGCCCTCTAGTGGTCACAGCAATTAAAACATATCTAAGATAGTGGTAAAAGATACACAAAGTCTGTTTGGGGACCAGAATAGGCTAATTGTTTCTTTTTTTCCCCTACAGTCATTATTTTTCATCCATTATTTATTTTCCACCATAAATGTAACTGCAGCTCAGGAATAAACCATTAATCTTTCAGATTAAACTCCTATTGAGATTTCTGTGTATAAATGAGCATTTATTGACCTTTGCTTTGCTTTTGTAAGACATTATCTATTTTTTGCATATGACCTCACCTGTCCATTATTGCATTTACTCTGTGGTAACATTCACACCAGTGCGGTATTTCTATCTATATCTTGAATCAGGTCTTCAGCTGCCTGAATCACAGCCACATACAGCAAGCCGCTGTATCTTTTGGTGGACTTCCTGTTGTTATTTAACCTGTCTGTAAGTGTGAGATGTGGCGTGGCAGTTGCACAGCCTCAGATTATATTCTCCGGTCTATACCAGGGTGATAGCCACAGCAAAGGTGCTGGTGCACAAGTACACAGTCTGCCTATAAGCTGCTGCTTCAAATAAGAAGCTATCTATATGCGGCTTCAGACTGCACAACCTTGGGAACCTTTACTGGCACTCAATCTTTCAATGTATTGGATAAGTGGATTAATCCAGGCATGTTTCCAATTCTGTCACATTTTGTGTGGGTCAAATAAAACAGGTCTAACAGACGTGAGTGAAGTGCCCTGCCCCCACCTTCTTCAAATCAAACAAAACTGATGTCAAACGTGCTGTGTGCTGATTTTGTTTTAAAGACATTAAAAAGATTAACCTTTTGTGTGACTCCCCATTTACATGCAGAAATTGGAATATATCAGATATTCAAATTATTCAAACCAATGAAGTGTGTTCTAGTCTTTGTAATAAGATATTGCGATCAGTAGTATTGAATACTGGACTGATGTCCAACAGGACAAGCACAAAGATGAGCATAACAAGGTCATTAGTAACCTTCACTGCTGTTTCTGTGCTAAGATTCACTCTAAAACTCAGAATAAAAATATTCAAATGAACCATTCCTCAATTCTTTCTTGAAAGAGATATTTAAAATTAAAGCAGTAAATAACGATAAGAGGTTTTGAGCATTCTTGTAGGAATGTGTAACAGACATGTTAGTGGCATACAGGGAGTGCAGAATTATTAGGCAAATGAGTATTTTGTCCACATCATCCTCTTCATGCATGTTGTCTTACTCCAAGCTGTATAGGCTCGAAAGCCTA